ATCCGCGCGTGAGAGTGCGCGGCGTAAAAACTTAGCAACGTATCAACTATGAGAATTCAACTATGATGGGCGACGCCATTTTGTTGTGTAAGAAACTCTCGAAGCGAGAAAAAAAGATATCTAAATGGGTTTTCGCTTTTTTAAGCGGGGGTGTGGGGGCGGCAGCCCCCAATACGTAAAAAAAATGAATAAAACAAACTTACCTTAGTCGTTAGATAAATCTGCGCAAAGACTCGGAGCCATACGTACGTGTCACTATACATACAAGTAGAACAATTGTGTCTTTTTTGCCGAGTTGTAAATACGTTTTTATGGGTGATGAAGGAGATAAACGTCAATTTTTAATTATTCCTACTATCCTAGTGCATTCTTAGTAGATATTTCCTATATAACTGCATTCCATGTGGTCTCAATGATTGTAAAGTATCCAGTGTTTTGCAAATGAAATCTCTAGATTTTTTAGTTCGTAAATCCAGGAGTATGTTAGATTAACTGCAGCTCTGTTTCCAGAAATCTAAGATGTGTCTCTTTATACGTTTCATTTTTCTTATACTGCCGATTGCTGTTTCTGGAAACAAGACCTTCCTCACTGCATGTTTACAAGTTTTGCCCCTCCACTTATTCAACATTTCCATAAACTAAGGATCACATTTATCGCTAAAATTTCCAAAAATTCTAGAATGCTGCAGTCAGTCAATTAAAAATATCCATTCATAGAAAACACAATACAAATCATCGGAAATAAGGTGCATGTTGAATCACTGTTTACAATCATATAGAGTGGAAGTCAAACTTTCTATTTCACGTCACCAACCTGACCAATCACAGCACTGAAATAAGTCACGTGCTTAACAACGTCACGACTTTGGAATGTGGCCGACAAAATGAAAGCCAAAGGTTTGTTTTGAAAGTGCTTTTAGTTTTAATTAATAACTTCGTTAATTAAACGAAGTTTATTTACATGAAAAATGACGAGGAATTCAAAAAATAGGTTATTTTTGCATTTTATTGCCTTTTTAGCGAAATCGTCACGCTGACGCGTGACTCTCTTATAGAGAAAGAGCACGTGCTATTTCCATGTTAATTGGACGTACCGGTAAAGTGCAGTTGTCCCGTTGCGCGGTGGATTCAAAATCGTCAGTTCCATACTCCCTTGAATATAAAATTGCTAATAACGTTCATAAGCACGACGTCAAGTATTGTCCATTGTGACGTCATAATAACGTTAAAAGGTAGCATTATAATTCGCACCGTTAAATCACTGAAATAAACCAAAAAAAAAACAAGTAGAAAATAACTTTAGTTAAAACTGAAGTAATTATTTTCTGTTAAGTTTTGGGTTAAATAGTTTTATGAAGTAGTCCTCCTTTGCTACTCTGGATATTTCACAGTCATTGTGCATTTTATAAAATGGAAATAAATAAAAGTTTAACGGAAAATAATTTAAACTTAACAGAAAATAATTACTTCAGTTTTAACTAAAGTTATTTTCTACTTGTTTTTTGGTTTATTTCAGTGATTGTAACGGTGCGAATTATAATGCTACCTTTTAACGTTATTATGACGTCACAATGGACAATACTTGACGTCGTGCTTATGAACGTTACTAAGCAATTTTATATTTAACTTTTAACTGTCTGAAGAGCCATTAGGCAGAAAGCGCTAACAGTAAAAATGATTTTCGAGATTTGTGATTTCTGACTTTTTTTCATTGGATATATATATATATATATATATATATATATATATATATATATATATATATATATATATATATATATATATATATATACACGAATTCTCTGAATTAGCTTGTTAAAATTGAATTAAAGCAGACTATGTAATGCTATACATATTTCACAAAGAGACTGTATGATGCACATGCATGATTCTTTCAATGATATCACATGTATTAGATTTTTTTAAGGTGGAATGCCACACCAATTTTTTATTTTATAGATCTTTGAGTCATCCTTTTTAAACAATGCTTTCAGCATTGAAAGGCAGACATTAGCTCTTAATTATTTTATATGAATTTTTTTGTATTTTTTCAAAGAAAATGAAAAAAAAAATATTTACATCCAAATTTATGGAATGCCATATACGACAGCCAACTGCTGACTGCTTACTGCCAACTGTCAGCTGCTTACTGCTAACTGCCACACATATTTGAACAAATCTTATTTTCATATTTATATTTATGTGAATTAAAAAAAAAAAACAGGCGCGGATCTAGAACATTTTTTCCAAGAGGGTCACTCATGTAAAAAAAAAATCCAACCCAGAAATTTCTTGACAAAAAAAAAGTTAACTTAAGTCCTTTCCTTAATGTGGAAATTTATTTCGGCCGGGAAGGGGGGGGGGGCTCAAGCGTCATACCTTCATGTCTAACACATTTTTAATACCAACTTAACACGAATCTGCGTTTTCGGCCAGGGGAGGGGAGGTCTTAGGTCCCTTTTAGTTGATTTTTTTTATACATTGAATAACTTTTAGTTGGTTTAGTTTGTGCATTAAATAACTTTACAAATATCAGAGGGTGGTCTGGACCTGTCTCTCTAGATCTATATGCTTGTAAAACATATCTTATTTGTATGAACAATTAAGAAATAAGGTATCATTTTTAAACATCTATCGGGATATAAATACGGGTTGGTCACGAGATTAAATTCCATAAAGCCCGAAGGGCTTTATGATGAATTTAATATCGTACTAACCCGTATTTATAGCCCGATAGATGTTTGAAAATGATACCTTATTACTTATATTTACATTTGTGACTTATTCATACTTTATATCTGCCTGATTGTGACTTTTAACGCGTGAAATGCATTATTTTTTAAACCCAACGGCATGTATGTAATCCACTGAACACGCGTCGACCCTTACTGACGTCACAGAGAAATTACGTCGAACGTTTATCCATACGCACAGTTATGACCTCTTGACCCCGTACTGGTATTTATACAGATATATTTGCATATCCACTGCTCTCTCCCACTATGAACATGCAGCCATCAACTGCATTCATAGGACTATAGATGCAACTGCTTCTACTATAAGTGCAATAACGCTATCTCACTCGTGTAGAACAAGCTCGACTACACTTATGTATCGTATTGAGAAGTATATATATATGAAATGTTTCGTAAAAGGACTAAATATGTTTTTAATAATATTTTTTGGAAAAAAATGAATTCAGAACAATTTGAAATTGTTGTTTATATCTTTAAAAATTTAATTTTGGTCAATGTATGTAATTGTAAAATAAAACTTTTTAAAAATTAAATAGAACTCCATATTTTTATTTTTTCGTATCATGTATACTTGTACAAAGAACGATAACTCTTCAAACTTGGGTAATAACATTCAGAAAGAGAAAATTTCTTTAACTAGTAGATCTATATCTATTTCAAGAAAAAATAAATAGAAAAAGTACCAAAAAAATCACAGAAAAGCATACTGGAGTAATAATCATAATAAAAGCATTCTCATTTTTATCATAGTGTTAAATTATTGATTTTTGTCAGAGGATTTCAATAACGTTGATCGATGACGTCACGACTGCATCAAAACAAAAACTAAGAGAATGTGATGACGGCGCTGCTTGTATCCAGATAACTGTGTTTGAGAGGGAAATACTTTATAAATTGTGATTTATTAGAGAAAGGAGTATTGATCAGGTGTAATGATTTTAAAGCCGTATGGTTTTCTTTACTGAAGACAGAAGAAGCTGCGTCCTTATGTAAGTCAGGATTTCCTCTGATATTCTTGTCAACATCAAAGAATGCAAATATAAGTAATAAACAACGATTATTTAGTGAACATGGCGTAATGAATAGCAATAGCTCTGCTGGCATATTTTCCATGATGCGCTAGCGCGCATCATGGAATATGTCAGCAGAGCAATTGCTATTCATAACGCCATGTTCACTAAATAACGTTGTTTATTTCTTAAATAGATACCATTGCTTTCAGTAGTGTTATATAAAGGAAAACATTTGCAAATGTAAATACATGTATAGAGATATAAATGTTTGATCGGCGTTTTCTAAGTGAAGGGTCCAAGGTCAGTTTTAGTTCGTTTAGTTTATACATTAACCCATGACTGTACAAATTTTAAATGCCCCCCACCCCACCCCACCCCCAAGATATTTGCATGTGAAACATTATAACACACATAGATATACATCTATACTAATTTGAGGAAATTTTTAACTATTGAATATAATGGAAAATGTAAATTTATTTATAAAACATCTTTATTTGCGAAATGACAAATCTTTTTTTTCCTCTCTTTTCAAAGGTTTAGTTGTCTCCGGGGGTGGGGGGTGGGGTGAGGTGGGGTGGGGTGGTTACTTCTTTAAAGATTAAAAGCAGAAAATAGTCATTTTATTACCTATTTCAAATAAGAAAAAAAGTAAACAATGTACTTTATCAATGGTATATATTGAATATTACATAAATTAAAACATAATGGTCATTTCCTCAGTTTAATTTTACCATGCAGGGTGACCTCTTGGAAAAAATTCTGAATCCGCGCCAGTTTTTTCTTCTTCTTTTTGTTAATTCATATAAATATCAATATAAATATAAAATTTCAAATATGTGTGGCAGTTGGCAGTAAGCAGCTGACAGTTGGCAGTAAGCAGTTGGCTGTCGTATATGGCATTCCATAATTTTGGATGTAATTAATTTTTTTTCCTTTTCTTTGAAAAAATACAAAAAAATTCATATAAAATAATTAAGAGCTAAAAAGGTTGACTCAGAGATCTATAAAATTAAAAGTTGGTGTTGCATTCCTCCTTAAGATTTTCTTCAAAACAATATCGTATACAACATTTTGAAGATCAATGACACTTTACAAATTTTTCAAATACATATATTTGCAACATATATTTTTTGTAAAATGATATACTTTTTATTTGACTATATTAACTCCAACTTTTTACCATCTAAAATTAATTCTATATGTAATTTCATATGGAAGAAAAATCCTGTTATTTCCTACAAGAAATAAATTGCTATAAATCTAAAGCACACTCTTGTGATTTTGTCAGACTTGAAAATCCATCTCTTTATTTTTAAAGCACTACTTTGAATTTTTTGAAAATATTTCATGCTGGAACGAACTTTCTTAACACCCCTTAGTATGATTTTTATCAAACACATAGTGTGTTTTTTCCCACTCGCCAAGAAAACAAACAAATCGTTGGATAAAAATTTTATTTACAACTACAAACATGGGAGATCCTATATATTCGTATTTCCATACCGACGTCAGATTCTTTTTTAGTACTTTGAAAGCTCTTTTTAATATATTTCATTTTGACTTACCAGAATAAGCATATATCCAGATAGTATAAGTATGAGATAAAATCACTAATACGAGTGAGATCCAAAACCAAAAACTGGCATCTTTCTCTTCCTCCCCCTTATCATAATCAGGGCTGGGGATCTCAGATTCCTTAACTACTTCACAAAATTGCTCTTTTGACAGTCGTTTTTTATTGTAGTAACGATGTTGAATGATTACAATAACTTGAAAACAAGCCCCTGTGAAAACATCAAAAACCATTTTGACTCCCAACAAAGAAATTTCAGATTCTGGGGTTTTGGGTATATGATCAACTACTATAGTGAGATATACAGCTATCGAAAGCAAAATAGTTACAGAGAAACTGATTCTTTCACCGCAATCCCATGGCATCAAAAATGCAAACGGTTGGAGCGATTGTAATATTATAAAGGGAAGGATCAGAAAGTATACATAATATCTTGAATTTCGTTTAATCTTAAATTCAATTTGAGCCCTTTGCAGTTTGGAGTTCCCATTATTGCTGAAACCTTTAATGCTGTCGACACTCATTCTGGCATCCTGTAAGTTCCAAATGTAAGTTTCTTTGTAAAGTTTCTTGTTGATTATGCTGTTACGAGCTTTTAAGACAGTTTCTCCCATAAATGATCCCCAAATCACAATGTCTATTGCGCATTTCTGTGTGTCAAATGGAAAAAAATAGTAATCTGTTTTGCATTCTGTTGTAAATATGTCCATTTTTACCATCAATGCCGATCCATTTCTATCAAACAAAACTGTTTCTTCGACCACTTTTTCTAAATCAGATCTGAAGTACGCATTGATCTGACGAATTTGTGGAGTCCAGACCTCTGAATCTTTAAAGTACAGTGAAACAAATTTATTTTGAATAGCCGACGAGGAAGCCCAGTTCATGGCAATTCTTGGATCTATCCAGGACACTTCAAGATATCCGCTAACTATAAATTTCCCGTCTTTGTCATCAAAATCTATTATATTATTGGTATCAAAGGCACTAAAAGATATGTAGACAGTGGTCAGCGTATCATTTGGTGGTAACTCCTTTGTATAGTTCTGAAGGAGATCCTTTCGAAGGTCAGATTTGGATGACAATATGGGATCCCATATTGTCATTAAGGCGATGAAAACTTTCACAATTAAATGCATTCCGTTCTCTGAAATAAAGCAAATTTTACAATAAGCAAGGCGTGAACAACATGTGATGATTGTGTCTAAAAATTGAAGTAAATGTGTTTTATTAATGCGAATTTTATTCACACAAGACACTCCGACGCTCCACATAGGCATATTTCATAAAGCGATTTAGCGCTTCATAATAAATACATGCATACAAGAGTAAAGCGACGTAGTTCATGTGCCTCATGTATTCAAATTATTATATTTATTTAAGTAATAAAGCTTATATATCAACTTATGTTATCCGATATAACATAACTTGGGGCAGTTTACGTTTTATAAACCGCGATTAACGTTGGTATTAAAAGCAGTTGTTGTGGTAGTACGGTGACGATTGAACAGGCGCTAGAATGAAAAACCCGATTAACGTGGCTCTGTTATGCGTCAACGTCATCGTCACGGTTGGTAAGAAACAATTCTAGGCCCCCAGAAAACAGAAAAACTTAACAACAATCTCTTGTAGTTTTAGTTCTTACTTTGGCATTGTAAAAGCAAGATTTCATAGAACTTCCGTCAACCGTACCAAGATTGATAGAAATTAATATCGTTTGTAAATATTTTAAAACAATGTGTATACCTCAAATGCATCAAATGGTAAAACAAATGTTGTTAAAAAACAAATAATAAATTTGCACTTTTTGGGTTGCCTTTTTAGCAATTACTCTACGTGTTGTCATACATCTAGGGTGAGCAATTCTGAACATTTTAGTCTATCAAAGTAACTGATTTTTAATCTGACCAGTTTTCGTAATTTTCATTCATACGGTCCAAAGAAATTCACATGTTGTGCTACCCTGCGTTTCTTATTCCTTTCAGTATATTTAATTTGCAATTGAAAAAATTCAACCTTTGCAATGTGCCGTAGGAGACATTAGTGTTGCACAAACACATCTTGTCTCTAGTCTGTAATAAGTTCGGTAGATTTAGGCTGGGCTGGAGCTTAAGAGCATTGCATTTTTCAAAAAGATAGCAATTTTGATTTTTCCATATCATAAACGTTCTTTTTCTCTCTTAGGATTTACAGTACTTATAATTATTGGAATTTTTATTTATGTTACGTTATATTACGTTATCGTTTTTAAAACGGTATACTAGTTAATATATATCAACATGTATTTTGGTATAGAATAGACATCAAAACCCGGAAGGGGCCTAGGGTGCTTAGCCCCCCCCCCCTCCCCTTTTTTTTCAAAGATATACATATTAGAGGCATTGACAACTGGGGCTTACCTTTTTATACTCCCCGCTTGAAAAGTAGGAGAATATATTAAGATCGGGAAGTCTATCCGTCTGTCCTTCTGTCTGTTACGCTTTGGGATACCCATCTCTTATCTGCAACTCCTTTATACATGGAATTTTGCATTAACTGTACACTATGTACAAATTTAATTTTAGGTATAAGTGTTAGTGGCTTTTCATTGAAAATGTATACACACAGACTGTAAGTGCAAACTGAGGACAGCTATCGACCAACGTAATGTACAGCTGTATAGTGATTTTAAGTGTCTTTTATGACTTCTTTATTCCGTACCTCCGAACACTTTTGAATATCAGCACTCGTATCAGCAGTTCCTTCTATACCACTGAACAAAGTCTAACGAACCTTTCGAAGCATTTAATTACACAATGCCAATTTGCACCATATCCGAAGACATGCTGCTTCAGAACTGTATAAATACATGTAACTAATGAAATCTACGAATAATGACTTCCAACACAAACACTATAGCTAATCCACAACTAAAGTGCAGATGAACTCGTTTGATTCATTAAATTTCAAAATTTATCTAAGAAAAGCATTTTTTTCTCTAGGGTTGAAACACTTTTTATAAAATCTCCTTTCCCCTCAGAATTGCAAATACTGTAAACCAACTTTTATTCGCGTTCTAGAAATGTTCGCCAAGTTCGCGAGAGCCTTGTCATCGCGAATATTAATCGCCACGATCCGGTCATTTAAGTGTAAGTGTCTATTAAAAGAAATCCAAAAAAGACATGATCGCGAAAATTAATCGTCGCGAACAAGTTTACCGCCGGTAAATCGCGAAAAAAAGTCGTCGCGAATAACAGTTCGACTGATACATGCTTTATCCTAACTCCAATAAACATGATTAATATAGCATCTATCTCGCCCATATGCGAATAAGATGCTTTTATCTTGGCAGCGCAATATTTTTTGGCGCAGTGATCTCTCCTTGTTTCGGCACGAGTTATCTAACTTTCAATTATATAAAGAAAGGTGCTCATGCTGCAAACTCTCTCCTTGCCGTTTACACGCTAGTTGCAAGGTTGGTGTTAATCAAATTTGAGAAACAATAGCTAAATGTAGAATTTTAGAAATAGATTCTCGCCTTAAAAAGTTTTAATTGCTATTACTATTTTTATGGATTCGTATTGTTTACGTATCGATTCGATAACAAAGATTTAATTTAGATCAGGTCAGATGCATTTCAATTTGTCTATTTGCATCACCATGTACTAGTCGCCATCTTTGTCCCAAGTGAAAAAAAATTAAAGTAATCGAATAATATCATGTAGGCCTAATTGATAATAATTTGATAACTCTATTTCATGCGAATCTATGACTACTAGTATTTGACTCTTTTCAGCTTCATTTCTTTGTAACTGATGACTATCGATTTAACTTTTAAAAAATGCATAAATTAATAAGAACAATACAGGTAAGCATATTACTATTTCTTACAAACAGTAAAATGTTAACTTATATCACTTATGTTAATACCAACTTTCAAACTGGTGTCTACAGGTTTCCAGCTTGAAGAATTACAGTCTCTGCTTCCACTTAAACGGGAGGGGGGACTAACCCTAAGTGCACAGGAGAAATTGTAACAAAGGAAAATGTCTCGAAAAAAATATTTCCAATTAAAAAATGGATGGATATCATGCTCATGTGACGATGTGTGCATCTATTTACATATCTGCCCATCCAGATAAAGCAATGGATATCCTATGTCTGTCCATGCAGTTCGCTTGTGGTTTGAATAAGTCACGCAGTTTCGTCTTCGGAAATCTATAGATCCCCCTATAGTTCTTTGGCTTTCGTTGATTTAGAACTGTGGTTGTTATACATGAATCCTAGTTATCGGCTGGAATTTCTCCAGACTCAACGCGCGCTCTCAAACAAAATGTGAGTGGATTTCAATTTTAAGGGGTCCTTTAGTCAAAATCAAATCTGTGTCAGTACATGCGCACTTATACAAGTTGTCTTGGCATGCACCTGGTCAAACAATGCAATTGTTAAATTAAGAGCCCAGCTAAATAACATACCAGTAGCTCATTCGAACGCACCTATACTCCTTTCGAACCCAGCTAATGCAACCACAATAATTTAAGTATACAATGTAGAAATCCATATACAAGACATCAAGCTCCACCAAACTCCTAACAAAAACTTCTGTCCCACACCAAAAAAATACAAGGAGAATGGCTAAAAATATTTTGGCTGTAGGAAATATACCAATTAGAATTCCTATGTAAAGAGTGACCTTGAACCGAAGCTGATCGTTATCTAAACAAACCTGCTCAACAAATTGAGAGCATGGTTTTACGCAGGGGTTCAGACTTTATAACTCAAGTCCAATGTTAGATATAAAACAAAATAATCATTTAATTTCAGATTAACAATACAGGAATGATAATAATTATAAAATAATAATAACAAAGAAGTTGAATTAAGGGGGGGGGGTGTTTCCCACATGTATTAATCTCAGAGTATCTCCTGTGGGAGTGGTACCAAAGAGGGATAACTCTGGGTGGCGATTGATAACGTACCTTTCTTATCCTACAGCCAGCAGTAAAAATCATTATTTCCTATCTAGCTTGTAACACGAGCTTTGATTGGTTACAAAGTCGGGTGTAAATATCCGTGCACCCGACTTGAGCCGGGTGTAAATAAAACGTGACGTCACAATGCATACATTCTCTATGATAAAAGCTAAACATAGGTAATCAGAGATTACAGAGCTCACCTCAACGTGTGTTGTCTTTAAGTAAGGCAAATTAAGTCACACAATTAACCACAAAAAGTGTACATCCAAAAATGCAAAATTTATGCAAATTTGATACTTTGGAATAGACCTATATAAAAACTAAAAACTAGTTCTTCATCATGAAAATGTAATTAAAATCCAGCATCTGAAGCAAGATTGAGAGTTTTCACCCCTTGATGCATCATTTGTGCAACTGGTTTATATAAGCCTTATAGTTTCTTGGTGATAGACTTGCACCCATAACTTATACGAGGTCTAGCTATTATCTGGAAAATGTATGTCGAATTCAGCATCTGAAGCAAGTCCATTAGTGTGCATCCTAAGATGTATCATCCATGCAAGTTTGGTCAACATAGGGCTAAAAGTTACTTGCAAATGAAACCTGTATAAAAAAATTAACCTTTCCACTAATCCAGAAAATGTAGGTCAGATTCAGCATCCGAAGCCAGCCTAGTAGAATGCACCCTTAGATGTACCATCCATGCAAGTTTGGTCATTATAGGGCTCAAAGTTACTTGGAAATGAATCCTGCATCATAAACTTTAACCTGTTTACTCGTCCAGAAAATGTAGGTCAGATTCAGCATCCGAAGCAAGTCTGGTAGTATGCATCCTAAGATGTACCATCCATGCAATTTAGTCGTTATAGGGTTCATAGTACTGTACCTTGGAAATGAAACCTGCACCCAAAATTTTAACCTGTTCACTCAACTGGAAAATATAGGTCAGATTCAGCATCCGAAGCAAGTCTAGTAGATTACATCATAAGATGTTCCATCCATGCAAGTTTGGTCATTATAGGGCTCAACGTATCTTCGAAATGAAACCTTCACCAAAAGCTTTACCCTGTTCACTCAACTGGAAATTGTAGGTCAGATTCAGCATCTGAAGCAAGTCTTGTAGAATCCATCATAAGATGTATCATCCATGT